GTATATTTCATAGACCTACCACCTTAAGCCCTTATCGTATATTTCATAGACCTACCACCTTAAGCTCTTATCGTATATTTCATAGACCTACCACCTTAAGCTCTTATTGTATATTTAGCGTATAAAAAAATTCCCTTAACTTTAAATGAAGTAATGTCAAAAACTCTCTAACATAGTTAAAATTATGCATCGTTCAAGATTACAAATTATTCAAAAAGTCACTACTAAGAGCAGCCGTGGCGAGGCGATTTTTCCTTACAAATATATTTACAAACGTCGCCTCCTTCTTCACAAAAGTTGCATATCTAGCTCTTACCAGATAAGTGGTAATCATAATAATGATTTTTTGTATTCGTACCGATTCTCATAAAGTAAAGTTTTAAGTGTTCTTTAAATTTAAATTACTTTTTTTTTTGAATAAAGTTAAGTTAGCAAAGCTTCTTATTTGAATAAAGTTAAGTTAGCAAAGCTTCTTATTTGAATAAAGTTAAGTTAGCAAAGCTTCTTATTTGAACTAGGGACTTAATATTTACTTCATAACGTAAAAAAGCGCTCAAAAAGTTTATTTGAATGTTTAAATTATATTAAATTTAAGAATATATTATTTTAGCTGCTTTTAGCACTGTTAAGATTTGCCGCAAATCATGTGGATGCACTTTTCCTATTAGTTTAGTAATGGGTTCGGTTTTTGATTCTTTAAACACTTGTAATGTTTTTGAAATTCTAATTTTTCAATTTCAAGATAAATATTTTATTAGACGTGCTGCTTTTGCATTTTGTAAGTTTTAATAAAATATTTAAATTTGCTTTGCACCATTTGATTGCACCAATTGATTCCATTCTACTAGCAGTTTCTTGATATTATTAAATACTTTGATTTTTTGCAGTTTGTATGTTTGTTTTTTGCAGTTTGATCTGTTGCAGTTTTGTAGTGCATAACTAATAATAATAGTTTTCAAGACAAAGAGAAAAGTATGCTTTAAAGACACAACTGGTCGATATCACAAGAAACTCCATTACAATATTATTTGAGGATTTAAGCTTGAATTAAAAAAAAGTAAAAAAAAATTTTTGAAATTTTTATTTTAATGAACCCATTTTATAGGTTCATTAAAATAAAAACTTCATTTTAAGGAATTAAATTATTTTTTACTATGATCTCATGAAGTTAACTTACGCTAACTTGAAATCATATATATGATATCATATAATAACTTACGCTAACTTCATGAAATCATATATATGATATCATATAATAACTTACGCTAACTTCATGAAATCATATATATGATATCATATGATAACTTACGCTAACTTCATGAAATCATATAAATGATATCATATAATAACTTACGCAGACCAGATATTTAACGTAAATATCTTGATTGTTTAAACTAATAACACACTGACGGCACTTTCTTGAAAAGCACCTTAACTACAATGTTTGAGTATTAAAAATATAAAAACTTTATTTTATTACAGTCATTCTGGGTAACTTTGAATTTACGTGTAACATTGAATAAAACGTGTAAATGTTTTTAAATTTTTTTCTTTGGTATTTTCTTTGCCTGTTGCTTCGACAAAGGATAATATGATAAATTAACCTTTTTTACAAAAGTTTGACCATAGATAATTGAATTTTGTTTCTCAAAAATATTTTTTCCCTCGATTTCCAGTTACACAGTCGAAAGTGGTGATAATATCGTGTGTTATCAATTTAGAATATTTGTTACTATATTGTAAATATCAGAATAGATTTTTTAGTATTTTATTGAATTATTTTTCGAATTTTAATAAAAACTCAAAATAATAGGAAATAACATGTTTTTTGCTACTAAAAGGATATTTATTTTTACTTAGCTAAAATATAACCCAAATCAGGGTAACTTTGAATAATCAATGTTTCCTAAAAGTGCTTTTTTTGCTGTCTGAGTAACATTGCAATAATGCATAATAAATATAATAGACATCTTTTTATTATAGTATTTTTATTATGTAATTATATATATATATATATATATATATATATATATACATATATATATATGTATTATTACATAATAAAAATACTATAATAAAAAGATGTCTAATATATATATATATATATATATATATATATATATATATATATATATATATATATATATATATGTATTATTACATAATAAAAATACTATAATGAAAAGATGTCTAATATATATATATATATATATATATATATATATATATATATATATATATATATATATATATATATATATATATATATATATATATATATATATATATATATATATATATATATATATATATATATATATATATATATATATATATATATATATGTATATATATATATATATAATATAATATAAATATCATAAATTAAAATTTCTATTGCTAATGTATTTTGATATTTTAAGTTTTGATATTTATGGCTTTTTTGATAGTTTTAAAAACTTAATCGCGAATATGCGATTAATTAAATAATTTTCATTAATAACAGCAATTATCTCTATATTTTTAGCATTCTTAAAATGCCAAGAAAAAGTTTGACAACTCATCCTAGCACTAGAAAATATGGCACAATATCTAATTACTCAAATGCTACACTTCAAGAGGCGTTAGCCAAAATTAAATTAGAAAACATGTCGATTGGTGAAGCTTCTAAAATTTTTAAAGTACCTAAAACAACATTATTTTATAAGCTAAAAAGTAAACACTGTAAATCAGTAGGGCGTCCTATTGCTCTTAACATTGATGAGGAACTTTGTTTTGAAAATCATTTACTTTTTTTAAGTGATAAAGGTATACCAATTGGAATTAATGATTTTAAAAGTATTGTCAAAAACTCGATGATAGTGGAAAAGATATACAACAGTTTAAAGATAACCGACCAGGTTGGGAGTGGTGTAGAGTTTACGTTGACAGACATCCATCATTAAAAGAAAAAGTATCTCATTGTATTTCAAGGAAACCTGCACAGATTAATTATTGTCAAACAGAATTATTTTTTCAAAATCTAGAGAAGGAATTAAATGGAGTAACACCAGATAACATTTATAATATGGATGAAACAGGGTTTCATGACGACCCTGGAAAAAAAACTTATTTTTTGTCGATCCTTTCGCCATCCAGAACTTATAAGAAACACTACAAAATCTTGTTACACTGTTGTTTTTTCTGGAAATGCCACAGGAAAGCTAATTCCACCATTTTTCATTTTTAGAGGAAAACACAGTTGGTCTGACTGGCTTTTTAATGTACCAGAAGGATCAAGAATGGGAACTTCTTGCAGTGGCTGAATTGTTTATCTATAATGCAAATAGAGTCCGAGATCAGATCCCTGTGGTACACCACTTGTTACATTCACCCAATCCGACATATCATGACTCATAACTACCCTTTGCCTCCTATTCGTTTGGAAATTCAAATATTTGAAGAGTGGCTGTTAAATCACTTTGTTCCAAATATTATAAATAAGAAAGGTAAAAAAATTCTGATTTGTGATAATTTAAGTGCTCATATATCTTTATAAAGCCTTAAATATATGTGAAAAGCATAATATAATATTTATATGTTTGGTACCCTTTTCCACACACTTTTTACAACCACTAGATGTTGGGTATTTCTCGAGTTTAAAAGCTAATTGGAGGTCAGTTCTTAACCAATGGCGTAAAACATCCCGTGGGAAAAAAGTTAATAACCTACCAAAAAATTTGTTTTCGCAGCTCATTAAAACTACTCTTAATATTGGTAAAGAAAATCTAGAACATAATCTACAAGCAGGATTTAAGGATTTAATCAGCCACTGAGGTAGAAGCATACTATAAGTTAAGAGACAATTAGAAAAAAAATCAAGATAATATTCGAACAAAGAAAAGAGGAAGACCACTTGGATCAAAAAATATAATTATGAAAATAAACAAAAAAAATGTTTCACAAAGTTCAAGCATTGTAGATGTTAATCAAGCTATTAAAGACAATGAGCAAGTTGTATCTCAAAATGATGCAGTTTTTTCATTAGAGCAAATAAACAATCACAACTTGATCTTGATAAAATAAACAATCACAACTTCCATGATCATGATTATTCGATTAAAGAGTTAGTTGTGACTAAAATAATAGACTTAAACACTGTAATATTTAATTTTATAGTCACAGGTGTTTATTTGTGTGGAATTATATAGAAATGATGTTTTAAATTTTTTTTCTTTCATAACCTTAAAAACTGATCAACAAGTTCATTTAGTGATTTGTAATATTTTATTGAAAAATTTGTTTGTTTATTCTCAATATAGAATAATTAGATTTTTTTTAAAATTAATTTGAGTTAATACAACGAAATTTAAACAACTTTTTAGATTTAACTGAATAAAGTTGACATTTAATTTAATAGTGTTCAAAGTTACCCTAAATGCAAGTGTAACTTTGAATCCCTACTTGAACTTTGTTTTTTAACAAAATAACTAGCAAATTTAAAAAAATGATAAAAACTAGAAAAAAGAGATCATCAGAACACCTTTTATGTAAAAATATTTGTTAACTAGTTTGTAAAAAAAATTTTGTTAAAATAAACCTAGCGCAAAGCGTTCAAAGTTACCCGGAATGACTGTATTAAAAATATAAAAACTTTATTTTAATAATTTTGTCTTTATCATTTAAATGCACAACATTTTTTAAATTAAACACAGACAACTCGTTTAGCAGTAAACCTTATTTTTGAAAAAGTAATTTTGGGACAAGCAGATGATTGTCTCAATTGAAGATAACACGAGCAACAGTGTCTTACTGAGTCTTCTAATATGACGAAACGTTTTTAATTTGGAATACTTATCGCAAGTTCAGTTGCGATTTGTATTACGATTTTAAGACTCACCTTTACTGAACACTTTATAACTTTGACTTGATTTATTAAGACTTTACAATAACTTCAGGTGACTTATTTCGGATAATAAGGAATAACAACTAAAAATGAAACTCGATTAAAAAAAATATAATTAAGTCAATTTATTTTTATTTAAATCCTAAAATAAATTTAATTACTGATCTGCTTTGAAGTATAATCGACGAGCCAGGAGTTAATATTCTTACATTCTCTTGCTAGCCAATTTATATTACATTTGATACTTTCTAAAGAATGACTTATAGCTCTTTCAGCAGATGACGTAGGATATGTTTGAAAAAACTCCTAAAAGTAAAGCAGTTTTATAAAAATTAGTTTCAAATAAAATAGTGGACAATAAAAACGTTTTAAAAAATTAATCATTAGTAATAAGTAATATATATTTCTGCAAAAATAATATTTCACAGAGTATTTATAAATATAAATTTATATAATCTAACTGTGCAGTCCACCAACAGTGGTGTGCTACAGCAACCCGAGCTGTCAAGTAAAACCTTAAACTCATAGGCCGATTTCGATGTTTTAATGTCATTGCTCCACTCCTTAACAATTCTGTTTTTAAAAAAATTATGTTGAATGTCTGAGTTTTTGACAACCTCTTGCACAAAATTTCCTCTAATATTTCCTGTTAAAGGTGAGTTCCATTCTACTATTTCTAAATGATTATCTAGTTTAAACATTTGGATCAGATCCCTGCGATTTCTTCTTATTTCCAGCGTTGTTAGATTAAGTCTATTCATTTGCTCTTTACACGAAAGATTTTCCATTCAATATGCAACTTTCGCAGCTCTTCGCTGAGCTTGTTTAACTTTAAAGATATCTCCTTCTAGACATGGTCTCCATGCAGGCATAGCAAATTCTAAATGCGGGCGGATATAATTGGTCTTTTCCGATTTTGCTCGTTTCTTGATTGAAATGTATGCTTCAAGTATACTATTTGCTTTTACTACTAATTTACATGTGCATGGGTTTTTAGGTCTTTGGATATAATAACTCCTAAATTTCCTATTATTTTGTTTTTTTTTTTACTTTGAAAATACACCCATTAGCGTTTGTAATTGAGTATTCATGATGGGGGTTATTTTTACCTATATGCATAACCATGCACTTACCGATATTTAGTTTCATAAGCCACATGTCGCACCAAGTTGAAATTTTTTTAATACTATCCTGAAGTTCTAGCGAATTCTTTAAATGTTTGTTTGGTTTTATAGGTTTTATTAACTTAGTATCATCAGCATAAATAAAATATCTAGCTTCGAGTTCTCTCGGTAAGTTGTTTATCTATAATGCAAATAGAGTCCGAGATCAGATCCCTGTGGTACACCACTTGTTACATTCACCCAATCCGACATATCATGACTCATAACTACCCTTTGCCTCCTATTCGTTGGAAAAGCTTCAATCCAATTTAGCAATTTTTTTATTTAAACCATAGATTGATAACTTAAGCAATAATTGTTGGCGCGGCACCTTATCATATCAATATATCATATCAACACTACTTCTACTAGCTATACATTTTGTCACCAAATCTGTGCATTCGAGTAGATTGGTTGTACAAGATTTTTTCGAGAGAACCAGTTCAGATTTGGATAATTAAAATCTCCTGTTATAAGTAAGGCATCACAGTGTCCTCTGTCAAATAAAGATTTTGCGTATGTGATCGATTTATTATTTTTTTTTTTTGCAGCTTGTAAGACTTTGGCGGTCTATAAATACACCCAACCAACACATATATAGATCCTATTTTAAGGTGAAACCATATTTGTTCTATGGTAGTTTCACATTATTGTTTTCTTGCTTCTTTGTTATCAATTTCGTATGCGACTATTTCTATTACGTTTGAAAAAGTTATAATCTATTAAGTTAGAGCTAGAAATTGAATAAAACTATGTTTCCGTTATACATATTAGATGTGGTTGGTTCAATCAAAACTGAAAGTTTGTCTATTAGTTAAACTTTAATAGTTAAAAGGTAATGGTTAAACTTACCTTTACATTGTCATACTCCGATTCAGTTGCAAAGTTATTTGTGCAAATCTAAAAAAAGAAAACTTATTCAATTAAAACCTAGTTGAATTCTAATACTGTAACTCGTAGTATCTCATAGTATGTTAAATCTTCACAATTTGCTGGTCTTTGTTTTAAATACAAAACATCGTTTGCTTAAACACCAAAATCTTAATGTTTCATTATTAGATGAATCATTTTGATGGATTTTTGTATAATATTTCATTAATACCAAACAATTCTAATTAAAAAAAATCAAAGAAAGATTTATAAAAAAACCCTCGTTTTATATGTTGTTTTCACAATATAAGCTGACCTTAATTGGGTAACATTGACACATCTTTAGAAATATTTTTTTTAGCTGTGACAAACTAAATTTGGTATGCAATATTACCAGGGTCGGACTGGCCAGGGAGGTTGGGGGATAAAATAAAAAATAAAAGTAAAATAATAATAAAAGGCTTTACGTTGTTTTTTTTTAAATAACTACCATATTTATTGTACTTTCTTTTTTAAATTAATGCATATAAACAAATAGTTATTATTAACTTGTTTTTTTGTGTGTTTTACTTGAGCATCATTATTTATAGAGAAGCCCAGGATTTTAGGCATGACACAGGCCAAGGGGGGGGGGGGGAAGGCTGTGCCATGCCTAAAATCCTGGGCTTCTCTATAAATAAAGATGCACAAGTAAAACACACAAAAATACAAGTTAATAATAACTATTTGTTTATATGCATTAATTTAAAAAAGAAAGTACAATAAATATGGTAGTTATTTAAAAAAAAAACGTAAAGCCTTTTATTATTATTTATTAGTAGTAGAGTGAATTATTTTAAGTAAGAGACTAGAAAATTAATTTATTACAAAAAAGCATTAAATTTCTTGTCTTGAGTCATGCATATATATTTTATAAAAGCCCAGGGCTTATATAAAATATATGCGCCATATATACACGCAGAATAACCTATTGATGACGGATTCAATAAGTTAATAATAACTATTCAGGCTAAAAATATCTTTGGGTTACTGGAAGCAACAGCTGTTTTCATGAAACCTACAAGCAAAAGAATGAATATATGGAAGAAACTTGCAGGTTTTGTAGAAGATAAAGTCAAGAGAATGCAGATGATTAGCAATACACAATGGACATCAATGGATAAAACTCTTGAAGGTGTAATAGGAAGTTATTTTTCGTTGCTAGCAGATTGATTTGCACTTTTGATTCGTGTATTACACCAGTTTGCTTCATGCAATGAATTTGAGACCAAAGTTGGGTATAAGTCTTTGAGTTTAATGAAAAACTGGATGAAATGTGAAACAGTATTGACTGCAATTGTTTATTCGCAGACTTTCAATATATACACACCTGTTTCAAAATATTTACAAACGGATTGCTTTGATCTTCTAGTTGCAATGAAGATGGTAGAAACCACTTTAAACCGCCTCATTGCAGTTCGTGAAAAATTTCCTGATATCCTCATGAAAGCTGAATTATTTGCAAGATTGACTAATAAAATCATATCTGAAGCTAACTAAGATATCAAAGAAACTTTTGAAATTGAGCTCCCACAAAATATAGCTCGACAAAAAAAGTAGATGCCTGATAAAAATACAAATGATGAAAGTAGGCTAGAATTTCAGGACCCAGTAAGGTGGTTTAAGGGTTATGCATTTTATGTTATTGTGGATACTGCCACTACAACAATCAAAGACAGTTTCAAAAGAAATGATGTTGGCATCTTAAGAGATATTGCTTGTCCTAAAACTTTCAAAGCGTAAACATATTGATGACTATATTTTTTATGATTCAATCTTGCTGGAGGGAAAAACTGCGCACAGAGATAACATCATTTGAAACTAATTTCCCATTAGTTAGTGAGGCTGATGAAACTGAATCAGAGAAATGCTCCTCCAAAAAAGACTGTAAACAGATATTTGAGTTACATTCTAAGTTTTCTCCATCGCTACAATTTACATTGTTCTGCATATTTTAATATGAATGTTGCATATAAAATGGCATTATGTCTCTCTTGCACACAATTCAAGTGTGAGCAAGCTTTTTCGAAGTTGAAGATTGTAAAAAATTGCCTTTGTAGTCTTTTAGGTGAATAGCACCTCTAATCACTTATTTTAATGAATGTTGAGAATGACATAAAAATTGATTACAATGAGGTTGCCTACAGTTAGGCAAATTCATCAATACTTTTTACTGATTACTTGTTATAATATCATACTGCAAATGCATACATTTATCTTATAACTTGATAATTAATTTCTATGTAAATAATTGAAAAACTTGAAAATAAACTTGTATTTTTTCTAATACTAATAAAGTTATTGGAAAAAACCGTTTTAGAATGACAATAGTGTACAGAAAATATAGTGGGGCGACGCTGCAATTTAGAAATACTGTATTTTTAAAACCTTGCATATGGATTTATTTTTTTTAAACATGCTGAACAAATTGATGGACAGAATTTTAGGTCAAAGATATAGAAATTTGCATGCACATTATTAGAAATGTCTTATACCCTTATAAGAAAAAACCATGTGATTAAAGATTTAATTTATTTTTGCTACATATTTTGCTACCATGAGGGCCCCATCTATATCTTACCCCCTGGGCCCTTTAAAGCCAGTCCAGCCCTGATGCTTACCAATGATATTGTTGCCATGAACTAATAAAGAATTTAATTAGTTATCTAATATATAGATAGATAATTCACTTTGTTGTTGGGGTTCTTTGTAATATTTTTTTTTGGTTGATTTCTTTGTAATATTTATTTTAGTGTTTGGTTCAACTTCTGAAACAATGAAAGAATTTTGTTCATATCCAGGTTCTGATGTTTGGTTCTCACCAGTACTATCACCTGTAGATGTTTGGTTCTCACCAACATCATCACCTGTAGAATTTTTCTTTCTGAAACTAGTGTCGGTTGAATCTGTTCAGTGACATTTCATATCTTGGCATTAATTTTTTTTAAATTAATTTTTTGGGATTTGCTTTTCTTGCTTGATTCCATTTCATTTAATCGTGCATGAGATTCATCAAATGTTAGACAATTAGCTGATGTTCTCTCTATATTTTTTCCTTTTTTGTCACTTTTCTCAGGTTGTGTGTGTCAAAGATGTTTCAAAAGTACTGCATCAGAATTTCCTGTTTTTCAACTGAACTTGTGGATTGCACTGGTACTGAGATGCTAGTGATCATGTCATTGATTGTCGATGTAATCTTATTTTGATATCCATTAATAATTGTGCTAATGATTACACCCGATTCTTTTTATGTGGTCCGTTTTATGTGGATTCTTCAATCCACATTGGCAGAGAGTTTTCTGCTTGCCTATGTAGGATTGAAATCTTGTTTTATCTACATTAAAAATATTTTGTGACTTGTTCTGTATATGAAGTTTTTTGATAACAACTGTTTTCTCAACTGTTCTTTGATAACAACTGTTTTCTCAACTGTTCTTTTGATAACAACTGTTTCTCAACTGTTGATAACAACTGTTTCTCAACTGTTCTTTTGACTGTTAGTTTCAAACAACTGTTAGTTTCTCAAACTGTTTCTCAAAAAAATCATCAACTACATTAATATTGCATGCATACGGATAATTAGCAGGGAGAGCTAACCAATCCGTCGTGTAAGTTTGTTTTTCCATTTCTCCTCGAAACCACGCATCCAATCACTGCCAGGCTTGCCATCTTTAAAGGTATTGGCTCTTCCAACGCTGTTTATTTAATCTTGCACAATACTCACAACATTGCAATGGTCTATGCTGAAGCCCCAATCCCCAAGTTTCTGGATTGTATGCATGATCAATGTTTCTTTTTCTCTAGTTAAAATAGTCAGGCATCCAACTCGTTTGCAATGGACTTCCTTTAAATGATTCATCAACATTGTCCTGTTTATATTGTACATAAATGCAGCTTTACTAATGCTAACATTATTTTCATTTACATCATGAATGGTTATTCATGTTCCCGATCATACAATCCATATGTTAAACTTGTTTTTTTTTATGTAATTGCATGATATCATGTGAACATAAACTCTACAAAAAAATCAATTATTTACTTATTCACACTTAAAATGTACTTATGACAACAACACACATGATGGGTAAACTTTGACAGACCCACTCATAAACTTTGAGATAACATTTGCAATCCTATACATGTTACCATACAATATTTTTGAAATATAAAATAATAAAAGTAAAAAAATATACAATAAATAAATATTTAAAAAACTACTAGTAAATATATAATAATAAAAGTAAAATAATATATAAAAAAAAATATAAAAACTACTAGTAATAATAAAAGCTTTAAACTAGAGATGTCACAAATGTGACATATTCTGTATTTAGCTACATTTTTTACAATTCAGCATTCGGAACCGAATTGCTGTAATACCCAATTCCAGATTGTCACAGAAAAAAATCCACATATGATGGATTACATAAACTATTTTTTTTTTTTTATATATATTTTTAAATAATTGGCATATACTTAAAATCAAATTAAAAAATAGGTGGTAGGTAATGATAAAAACATTTTCATCATTTGATAACAGCAAATGCTTGTGAGTTCCTACTAAATCATAAATACTTTCAAAAATTCACTATGTATACTAGCACTGCCTAATGAAAAAAAAACCTTTTAGCAAGTTATGTTAGGATAATCTTTTTTGACAACAATTTGTAAGAATTTGTTGTCCAGTAAATAGTCTAATAAGTAAACAAACAATCTAATAAGTTAACAGTTTTACATAAAAAGTAATTTAATTTGCAATCAGACTTTTCTTTTCCACATCTTCATATGTGTGCATATTTTTTGTAGAGATTGGTTTAATCGTTTTTATTTATATTTCTTTTTCTTATGAAGTAGTGATAAATCATCACTGGTGCCAGTGATGGTTCATCAGTGTCAAGCAGCCTTTATTTGTGAAGGATTAACTCTTCACTGACTTAACCTTTCTTTTCTTTTCAGAGCTTTTAAACTTTTTGTTATTTTGCTTGTCG